GATCCCAGGACCCTGGGATCATGACCTGAGCCGAAGGCAGACGCCCAACCATCTGAGCCACCCAGGCGCCCCAAGAAATTTTTTTTTAAAGGTTTCTTTATTAGACTTTTTAAAGTAAAGATTTTATTTATTTATTTGAGAGAGAGAGTGAGTGAGAGAGAGAGAGAGAAGGAGCAGGGGGAGGGGCAGAGGGAGAGGGAGAAGCAGACTCCCTGCTGAGCAGGGAGCCACCCAGGCTCCCCGTGCATGCGTGAGTCCCAGCTCTTGTTCTTGGGTAATCCTGGAGGGAATCATAATGATATGGCTTAAAGGACCCCATCATTGGTCCTAGTGTCAGAGCTGGGAATTTGGGACCCAATTCTGCCACTATTGATCTCAGGCCAATCCTGTCCCTTTGCTGGATGTCTGGCTGTCTGTTTGCAAAAGGAGCAGGTGTGATGGCTCAGAGGGCCCTTCTTGGCTTAAGAAGTTCTGAGATTTCACTTTTCTACCAGCACCACTGTCCTTCCCTAGATATAGGGGAAGGTTAGAGCTGGGGTAAGAGTAAAGCCCATGTCTGAGTATTTCCTGGGCTTCAGCTTTTTATTCCTTTTTTTTTTTTTTTTGTGATAGCTTGGGTCTTGGGATAGGGGCATTTTTGCAGGGTGGGGATGACCATTCCCATTCTGACTCTCATTCCTGTTTCTCATCCTGATTCCTGGTTAGATAACTGTGAGGTGCCTGGAAACCATGTGGTATGAGGAACTGAGCTTACCTAGTTTGGGAAAGCTGAGACAGTGGGAGGCAGAAGATCCTTGTCTAGGATGATGGCACTAGCCATGTTTTCACAAGGTCTCTGGGCATAGGACAAGGACCAATGGATAGAACTTTTTTTTTTTAAGATTTTATTTATTTATTTCACAGAGAGAGACAGCGAGAGAGGGAACACAAGCAGGGGGAGTGGGAGAGGGAGAAGCAGGCATCCCGCCAAGCAGGGAGCCTGATGTGGGGCTCTATCCCAGGACCCTGGGATCATGACCTGAGCCGAAGGCAGACGCTCAACGACTGAGCCACCCAGGTGCCCCTGGATAGAACTTCTTGACAACCAGACAGCTTTGGAGGCTGAGAGTGAAAATGGTGGCCTCCTAATCTCCGCCCCGGAGGAGCTGAGAACTTGGGGCCCTGCTCCTCAGTGCGCCCCCAGGGAAAAGCCACACTCCGCGCTCACCCGGCCTGTGACCGAGCGTTTCTATCTCTGGCACCCGACCCCGTGTGGAGTCTCCAAACCCAGCAGATCCCTGCGGTGTGCTCCCGCACCTCTCCTCCCGGGGAAGAAGGAATACGCTGTAGAAAAACTTCAAGAATGGAAGAGTGAAGACTTCTGAAAATCCTCTCCTTAAATGTAATGAGAACAAAAGGAAAAATTGTCAAAATCAAC